GAAGGTGAATTCTCAGAGGATTTCGGCTAGTATGCCCTTACATGTAGAGGTTGTGGGGTCACAGAGTCCAAAACAGGTCAAAATTGGTGGAAAAATCAAATAAAATATAGGGAACACGATGCGATAAAAATTAGCTGCCAATGGGCACTTTTGTTTAACAAACTTTTAATTTTAAGGTTTTGTATGGAAAACTACCTAGAATTGCGACCTGGGGCGCCAAAACCGTTAGCCACAGGGGAGCCCTCTTGAAGTCTTCCCAAGAGCCCTTTCCCGTCGGGCCGTTGGTGTAGGGGTAAGGTGCGGTGGTGGCAAGCTAGTGGTCGAAGGTTCAGATCCCGTCGTTATTTTTAATTTTTGCTTTTTGCTGTTTCTTAGTTTCATTTTGCAGGAAGAGAGGTCCAAAAATATCCAAAATGTGTTTTCGAAAGTTTTTCGGCTTTATTAACCCCTATGAGTCGCCGGGGCAGAAAAATCAAATTTCGAAAATTTTGGAAGTTTTGGAAAAAGGATTCACCTACCTATTCCAGCTCGATGACAACCAACAAAATAGTTAATAAATATTATTTTTGCACAGACTTAGTAAAAATAGAGTTATTTGGGCAATCTGAAATATTTCCGGGCTCCGATTTGAAGCGCCTAGGGGTCAGAGCCACCTATTGTAAGCAGCTTCCAACCTTCCCAGGATCCGGGGCTATAGGATAGGTAGTCAAAATTTTCGTGAAAAATTTTTTCGACATCAAATTTTTTTTCGGGTGTGGAAAGGTGTCTAGTATCGTGGCTGCTATGAAAATTCCATCAAAACATTTTTTCCAAGCCGGAAGGCCCGATAAAGCAGTTAAAAGTGCATTTCAGCAGCACTTTTTTTGCAGAAAAATTAAAAGTTTATTAAACAAAAGTGCCCATTGGCAGCTAATTTTATCGCATCGTGTTCCCCGTATTTTATTTGATTTTTCCACCAATTTTGAGCCGATTTGGAGTCTGTGACCGCGCAACCTCTACATGTTAGTGGCCACAAATCCCACAATGGTCCCTGCTGGCTTGCCATAAATTTCGCAAACGCTCCCTGGTTACCGAGGTTGCCGACGGCGCTAGCATTTCGGTAAATTCCACAATGGTTCCTGCGAGATAGCCGCGAAATTCCTCAAATGCTCCCTGCTAATCCGCCGGCAATTTTGTTAAACGGTCTCTGCTGTCTGCCGCAGATTTTCAGGCCAATGATCTATGCTAGTTCACAGGAGAAAATCCTAAATGACCCTTGCTAGCCTGCTTGTCCATTTCCAAAAAAAACACCGCTAGCTAGCCAGACGGGCTGTCCTAAATTCCATAATAACTACTGCTATGCCTAAGCCTGGCAGCGCTTTAAAATTTGAACTAAATTTAGGCAGGTCTCAGCGAGATGATAGCCCCGATCTGCCCAGAAAATATCAAAGAGCATGGTCTTCCCACCGAGACAATCATCAATATGTATCAGAAATGGGGGAATGGCGGATTCGGGCTGTTGATCACTGGAAATATCGCTGTCGATCCGGTCAGTTTTGGGTCGAACATCTTGCTGGCCGGTACCTTTAAACGCCAATATTTCAGCTTCACCCGGAGGCTCCTGGCAATATTGTGGTGTCGAGGGAGAATGATTCACCGAAATTGAGGGCGTTGTTGAAGAGGTGAGAGAGAAAGAGAGAGCGGGAGAGAGACAGAGAGAAAGCGAGAGAGAGAGTAAGTGAGAAAGCTAAAGTGGAGAGAGCAAGAACGGAGAAAAAATTTCAGGTACGCATCCGCATGCAAAAGTGATGGTACGCTCGCTATTGCTCAATTTACCCATGTGAGTTGAAAAATACTATTAAAGAAATCCGTAAAAAAATGCAGGTTTCTACTGTCACCATCTCTTTAAAATACAGGATACGGGGGCTTTTAAGGGCTGGCGACAGTTTATTCTAGCAAAAAAATCTATTTCCGACTGTCACAAGCGGTTACGATAGCCTAAGGGGCTATCGCAGCAATTTTAAGCCAGATATCCGTTCTCCTGTTACTATTCCTTAAACCCTGGTTACAGGGCGGTCGTCAGACCCCAGCCTGTGTCAACCCTAATCCCAAATCGGCCTCCGATATCCAGCTAGAGGCTAATACGCGTGGATTCACCTTTGGGAAACCGACTCCATACACTCGTACGTAATCGGGTGTAGTCTGTAGCTACTATCAATATCAATTCCGTAATACCGTAAATCAATAAAATTTCAGTAGCCGAGCTCAAAACGGAGGTGATCGATCGGTTCGCGCTCGCCGCTGAAGTCTGCCGAGAGGCTGGTAATTCCTAACTGTTGCCCCCTTCTACCGTATCCCTAGGCTTTGATGGGTGTGAGATTCACGCTGCCCACGGATTCCTGTTGGCCCAATTCTTGTCTCCATCCACCAACAAACGGACTGACCAATATGGCGGATCTGCTGAGAATCGAGTACGCATGGTACTCGACACGATTGACGAGATACGGTAAGAGAGAGAGGGAGTGAGAAAGGGAGAGAGAGAGAGAGAGAGAGAGAGAGGGAGAGAGTGATAAAGAAGAGAGAGATAGATAGAGAGAAACTTCTCAAATCCTTTAATCCCAGTCACCGTATCCCCGTCTCTACCGGTTTCCTCGTGGGAGTCAAATTCAATTCGGTCGAGTTCCAAGACGGTGGTCTCGAGACGGAAGACGCCAAGAAAATGTGCCAACTTATTGAGGTAAACTTTAAAGGTCCGTTAAAGCTTAGAATCCACGATTTTACGAGTTACCGTATCCCTTTCAGAATCGTGGCGATGTGGACTTTGTGGAAATGTCGGGCGGTACCTATGAAAAGCTCGCTTTTGTGCATCTCCGAGATTCCACCCGGAACCGGGAGGCTTTCTTTGTGGATTTTGCAGCTCAGGTAGGTTTTTTAAAGGGTTTGGCAAGTTCGTGAATGAGTTTTCCAGATCCGGCCGTTTTCAAGGAGACGAAGATGTTTGTGACGGGCGGTTTTAGGACAGCCAAGGTAATTTGAAAAAATCTGTCTTTCTCACTCTCTCTCTATCTCGCCTCTCTCTCTGTCTCTCTCTCTCTCTCGCTCTCTCTCTCTCCTGGTTAGCAGAGATATTTTGGAAACTCTTAAAATCTTTTCCCATTTCAGTGGATGACCAAAGTGATCGAGGAGGGTCATTGCGATGCTGTGGGTCTAGGAAGGCCGATAGCCGCCGAGCCAGGTAAGTAACTTTAGATGGATCGCCAAATATGATCATTCAGACCTTCCGAAGAAAATCCTGTTCGGCGGTGTGCTCGGGTCGGCTGATACGAAAATCGATCAGAACGAATTCCCGATGACGAGCCTAGGTAAGAAAAGTTTTACGCAGGGTCGTATGTACGCTTTAGCACCCGGAATGCTATAGATGCTATTTTTTATGAATATCGATGCTACTGTAACCGTTTCAGCCGCCCAGACTCAAATGTACGGAGCAGGAAAGCGTCCATTTTCCGAGTGCCAAAATATCTGCGATGATGTTGTCGACTTGACGACCAAGGAGGAGGCTGACAAATTTCTGGGTGCTGCTAAGGTATGGATCATCTTCTGTTATTTATCCTTATTTCTAAAATGTCTACCTAGCATACCAATATTGATAAGCTCCATCGTCTACCTATATCCTTGAAATTTTCAGAATTTCTTCGCCGAGCTGATGACGGGGAAGCTTGACGACCGGAAATTCGTGTATCCATAGCAGCGATTAAAATTTTAGACATTTGAATAAAATAGATTTTATAGAAGAAACGCCAAGCAAGCTAATAGTAATCTTTTAGTAAGTTTGCTAGTAAAATTAAAATATATTTCAATCGGAAAATCCATCTAAAAAAGTAAATTATGACATTTTGGTCGAATTGATGTCGAAACATCGTTATTTTTTTAATTTCGTGATCAAAAGTTGTGACGGTTTTATATACAAGTAAAAAACTATTAAAATTACTTCTTCTATTTATATTAGAACAATTCGATCCTAAGGAAAAAGTTGAAGTTTTTTAGTTTTAATATAATTTTTAAATTTTAATAATCTGCGCAAAGATATTGTGTAATTTGGCGCCTCTATAATGAGCTTTATTTACAGCTTTATTGATGGGTTAACAATATAGGTATATTAGAATTATGAGGGAGGGGTCACCGGGAGGATGAAGTGGATAGAGCGGGAGATCTCTAGCAAATTGACACGTCTTGATTTGATACCGGGGTCGAGGACGAGGAGGACACAAGTTTCAATATCAAACATTTTTTTCGATTTCGTTCTTTATGCCAAATTGAGGCCGACAATCTGGTTGGGGTTCATATGGGCCACGTAGACGGTTCCGTCCTTCGAGATGGCCAAAGCGTGCCCGTTTTCGATGCCCTAAAAAAATTAATTTTATACTTTTATTACATTTCATTTTTAATAGGTTTTAGTGTTCAGATTCATCCGTAGTCTTTTATGACTATTTATTAATTTACAAAACATTAAAAATTTTTAAAAAACTTGCATTTTGGCCAAAAATCGAAATTTTTCTAATTTTTTAACTAAAATTTTTAACAACGATGCGTTGAAATATAGTTTTTTAATAAAAATTATAAAGTATAAGTTAACTACGACTAACCTTGAGATATGTTTGTGCCTTTCCGGTATCCATATCCATTGCGAACACTTGGGGCTCGAGGGAGTCTTGCTGGTCAACACCGGTCACGCCGACAAGGTAGTGGGCTGGAAGAGTATACAAATCATTAGAATTTTCGTAAAAGTCTTAATATTGGGTATATTGTTATTAAATATATCCGAGAATATGCAAAGATAATAAGCAAAAGCCTTAACAGCGTCGAATCGAGGGTAAAATCAGGTGATTTTCATGTGGAAAAACCAAAGTTTTTTACCCGAACCAAAAAGAACAGGCTAATCAAAGCCAAATTAATAAAATTGCGATTAATAAGGTCAAATTATCGTATTTCGTTTCAAAGCCGCGTAGGGGTAAATAAGAATCACGGCGCTTCTGAACGATACAAACGTGTGAAACCTTAAAAGGGAAATTTTCCCGAAGCCACCACCCAAAAGCGATGACCGGCTATTTCTGGGTTAATCCTAGAACCGAAATACTACTAGAAGACGTAGATTACTCCCGATTTAAACGCCATAATTACCTCGCTCACGAATCGCGAAAACTCGTCCAATATCATCAGCAGAGGTGATCGGAATTCCTGCCGGGATTGAGCGGTGTCCCTCTTTCAGGCCTGAAATAAAAAGTTAAGATTTAGCGATTTAACGATAATGTATAAAACTAGATACTTTAGATGTATATTAAGTTTATAGAAAATTCTATAGCTAAAAATCCCACCAGCTGAGAAGCACTGAACACGCTCGTTCTCACGATCAGCCACGCACAGCAGGTTTAGATCTTCGATCAGGGCGATGGAATGGGGGATGATGAAGGGATCTAGAAAACGTCGTTTGTTTTATTTATTAAATTCCACAATTAAAAAATTAATTACTTAATAAGCAAGTAATTGATTGATTTTTGAACCCACCCATCTCCGATCCAACGATGTCAACAAATTGCCCCTTTGCGTTGAACTTGAGGACACGGCTGTTGCAATATCCATCAGCAACGAAGAAATAGCTATAAATAAATTGATATAAATATTTATATAATAAATTTAGCACCCATTCGAAGCAACCGCAATATCGGTGGGTTTGCAGAAGTGTTTCTCGTCAGTTCCGGGCACCAGCTTCTCACCCAGGGTCATTAGCACTTTGAAGTTTTTGTCCATTTTGACGACCTAAAAACGCTTTATATAATAGATGTAATTCATAAATAACTCTCAAATTTCCATAAATAAAAATAAATTCACCTGATGCGCTCCAACGTCGGTCACCCAAATGTTATCCTCGTGGTCGACGGTCAGCCCGTGGGGTAGGTAGAATTGGTTCTTTCCGTGCTCGGCGACAACCTGGAAAAAAGTATTATCGATTGTTTTAACTAAATTAAACGTAATTAAAAAGAAGATAAAAAATCAGATCTATAAAAAATTTATCAAATCGTTTTTACCTGTCCATTGGCCGGGTCAATGACGGCAATCGTGGCGTTGGCAATCATACCGGTATGGGCATTGAACTTGAAGTCCTTTGAGAATGACCTGAAAAATGGGTAATAGAATCGCTAAAGCTTTGTGTAACCTTCTCAATCGATATCTAACCTCTAGAAATAGGTTTTGAGCTCACTTTTTGGAGTATTTTTTCAAATCAAAATTAGCGTTGATTAGTCGACGAAAAACTCGCAGAACTTTCAAATGCCGAGAGATTTTCTATGGTCATTTTTGGCTCCTGACTTTTCTATCAAGGAAGTATAGTAAGAACCAACTCCTCAGTCCATTCCCGCTCAGCCCGGTGGAAGGCTAGAAGATGTCCCTTGGATGTGATTCCAAGGCCAGAAATTTGTCCAAGGGGTTTCGAGGTGCCGAGGATGAAGGCGTCCTGAATGAAATATTTAGTAGCGTCGACCGCAGTTCCTCGTTTTTGCAGCATTGCTAACTCTAGCTTTTCCCCAGGGTTTCTATTGCTCTGAAAATGGCGTACAAAATTTATGCGACGTTTATGACGTCGTCTGCATTTTGTGGGGCTTTTTGTTTCAAGGAAATCTCTATGTAGCCGGCTAATTTGTTCCGAAATCTTCATGGGAACGTGACGCGGCTGCGCGGCTACTTTTTGCACGTATTTTTCAAATTGGGTCTCTAGGAGCATTTCCAGTAATTTAAGAAGTTTAACTAGCGGATGGGAGCTGGGAGTTAAAGGAGCTAACGAGATTTAGATGCGTCGCGTGCGCGTGACGTAACGTGATTTTTCGAGAAAAATGCGCCAAACGTACCGACAATCGGGCTGTTGTCGCAAGGCTAAGTACGGGACGCTACTCCACTCATTTTTATGCTATAGATTCTTTACAATTTTCGGAATTTGATCGTATAAACCTTAAAGGAACCGATAAGATAAATAAATCTATAGCTAGAAAAACGGAGAGTGATTCCTTGTCAGTCCCTTTAAATTTTTCCACATTTATTGGGCTTCGAAATGACCGTAAGCCTCAAATTCTCGTGAAATTCAGACCCTTTTTCTCGTAGGTAATCACCTGCCCTTGTTATTGCCCTCGAAAACGCCCTTTAATACGCGAATTTCCGAAACCCCACCGCTGTCTGCTGGGGAGTGCCGCGTTGCCTGACAAACATCTTCTAATTACGCCTGTTCTCAACGTTTCCATGGATCCCCCCACCCTAATTTTGTCTCGCCATCCAGGGGCGAGCCAATGAATTCCCCAGGCAGCGGCGACATGGCCTGATTAATTCTGTTTGCCTCGGGCGGGCAGACACGTTTTTGCGGGGCAGATACCGTAATCCCGAATTTGCTGGGGGTACGGTAGTGATTTCCGTTTTATCCGGTTGATCCCGTCAAGAGGTGTCGAACGGAAGTAGCCTAATATCCGGGGAAATCTGCTGGCGATCGTCAAAACGGGATTATCTCGATTTTGGGCATACAAAGAGACAAGAAAGGTAAACATATAAAAACCTATCTAATACGGGTTCTGATTCATTAGCGGGGGGGGGGGATTTCTATAATACGGTTCTATTTCTTTAGCGGAGGGGGATCATTTTTCTCGTGGGACGGAATAAAGGAAGTCAACCCCCGCTAACGCACCAGTAACGAGAATGAACCGCTAAAGGTCTATGCAACCAAAATATCGATCCAATACCGTATTATAAACCAAAAAGCAAAAAGTTCCACACCGTGTGGATTCGAACCCCGACCCTGCGGGTGGCAGGCCAGCTCCTTACCAATACACCACCAAGGTAAAGCGCCGGAATTTGTAATCCGACCCCCTTTTCGAATTTCCTATTTTTAGACCGACCTCCTGCGGCTGCTCGGGATCTTCTTCTGGCTGTTGCTCAACGGGAGCCTCTGGGATCTCGCCGGCGGGGAGGGCGAAGATGTCCTAAATAGGCGGGCGTGAAATTCGATCTTGTTGACTGACTTGTTGGCCAAAGAGTTCGCGGAGCTCGGCTTCATCTAGGTCGAGGGGGGCATCTTCCGGTGGCGGGATCGCGGCCGCTAAAAAAGAAAATATAAAATAAAAAATAGTATAAAAATAGATTTATTTTAACTTATAACTTTAATACATTGTTTAGTTGTTTTATTGCATTATGATGATAATTTTCAACCTTTAAAATCACAAAATTATTTAGTACGAAAAGCTCGTCATTTGCTTTCATGAAGGTATATTTACGTTTGTTAATTTTTATAACGCTTTTTTTACATTTCCAGGATGAAAAAACGATAAATTTTTTAGATACCTTTAGGTTACCATAACTCAATTTTTGTTTATTAATAAAGTTTTACTTTTTACGCCCAAAAAATCGCAAAATCGGTAAAATAAAATTTTTTAGACACCTTTAGGCAACCATAGGTCGCTTTTTCTTAATTATAGCAATTATTAGCGACAAACTGAACTTTTTCGCATCAGATCGTAAGCTAATAGTCGAAAAAACGCGCATTTTTTCCAGTATTTGCTTCGTTAAAATTTATATTTTTTAGAGTAGTTTTCGATATTCTTAAGGCTCGGCTTTAGATTCGATTATAAAATTACCTGCTGCCAGCGCGATTACGGTAGCAATAGCAAGAAATAGTCGAGGAACGCCGGCCATTTCCCTGGGAGATATTCCACGAGGGGGCCGTGTGCAAGAATGACCAGCCAAGAGAAGGGGCCGCCAGGGCCCTCTAGGGGCCACACGCAGCCAATCAATACCCAGTACACGCCCTCTTCAATCCCCTCCCTCCCCCCTTTTCGACGTCAACGTCATCTGGAGTCGCGTAGGAGAGGGGAGAAGGCCCAAATGAGGGCCCAGCCATGGGGGAGGGCGGACAAATATCTCGGGTCGAGACCGGGGGATTTTATTGGAAAAACTGAATGAAAAAGGGCCTTTAGGAGAAAAAATTTTAAACTACGAAATACAACTACAGTCAACAACAACTACTACCTACACTCCAAAAAAAAATTTCGAAGATGTAGTAAGCGAAAAGGTTAGCTTAAAAATGAACTTTTGTTTGCAACTTTAGCTAAAACTACAATTTTTTAGAGTTTTTAGGAGCATTCAGCGACGAACTAAAACTCTAGGCTTAATAAATAGACTATATTGACGTCTTAAGCAAAAAGCAACTGTTTGCCCCCAGCCGGGATCGAACCCAGGTCATGTGGACGGCGGCCTGGAGCGCTACCAATACACTACAGCGTAAAATTGGCGTTTGCGGCAAAATGTCACGGAATAAGAGCGTGTTTTTAGGGGGTGGAATATTTTCCATCTGACTTTGTTCAGAACCATGGTGAAAAATGTCGACGATGCCTCGAAACTGCCGTTTTGCGCCAGAAATTGACTCCTAACGCAGGTATTTTTAGGTATCTTTAAGGTGATGCAGGCTACAAACTACAATTCTATGCGCCGTACAGTGACAGTTGAAAAACGAGGCAAAATGCAAAAAGTCTGACGAGGACGGGAGTCGAACCCGGACCGTGCGGGCGATGCACTAGCCCACTACCAATGCGACAAGGGTTAGGAAGCCACTTTTTCCCATATTTTAAACTCACTTACTGATAGTGAGGAAATTTTATATAGATAGTGACAGCCCATCTTACCTTTTGATCTTTATCCCATCCACCCATCTTGCCGTGATTTCCGTTCGACAAATTGGGCGAGTTGTGTGTGGAGGGCGTGAAGAATGGGTTGTAAAGAGGAAAGAACGGAATGAGAACGAGAAGCCCTCTCTACCTCTCGCTCTCCTGCCCGCCATTTCAGCTGCCAAAATTGAGCATCAGCCTGTCACAATGGGGCATTTCTTCCTCCTCTCCACCTGTCGAGAGATCGACCTTCTACTCCCCGGAAATTAATCAATATTCTTATCATATGCAGTTCTGGAATGGTTTTCGAATAATAGATTTTTAAATCATCTAATTCTTTACTTTTTAAGGTGCGCAATTTACTAGGTTTTTCTAGCTTAATATGGAATTTTCTATCCTAATTTGTATTCGATCTTGCTTGGAAATAACATTTGGAATTTTGCCAGCTAGCAGGGGTTCTGGAGGAACTGCTCGGAAACGGGCAAGCTAGCAGAGATTCTTTAGGAAAATGAGGAAGCTTACAACGATTATTGCGGAATGGCTGTATGAAGGATTTTTTAGGAAATAGGAAGGACGAGCAGAGATTCTTGAGGAAACGTAATTGAGATCGCTCTTAACCTCTGAAATTGTGTTCCTCTTCCTCTGTCTGTCTGTGTCTCTCTATCTCTCTCTGTATCGAACTCTCTCGCTATTTCGCTATCGCTCTCTCTCTCTCTCTCTCTCTCTCTCTCTCTCTCACTTTCTCTATCACTATCTGTCTCTCTCGCTCTCTCTTTCTCTCTCTCGCTCTCTCTCGCTCTCTCTCTCTCTCTTTGTCTCTCGCCTTGTTTCACTCTCTCTCTCTGTCTTTCTCTCCCTCCCTCTCTTCACCCTGTAACAAATCCTAAAGTCAGTTTTTCAGTTCTATCCAGATGAAAGAAATAAGTGAATGGTGCATCCGTCACTACCTAATCGGCTGCCAAATATTCTGGATAGTGACCGCCTGTTCTGTCTATTTTATGCTTGCCGATATCAAGGGAGAGATTGATAGCTATCAGAAAGCGGTAGGTTTCCTTCATTTTTCATGAATTTCTCATATTCATTTTTTAGGTTTCTTACGAGATGGAGAGGTTTGGGTCTTATGAAAAGGATCTAAAACAGATTGTTGACAAAAATGAAACAGGTAATTTTTGAACGTTTGGGAGTTTTTAAATGGGCGTGACAATTGTGAGTATAAAGCGGGCCAGCAGAGATCTTCGAGGAAGGTAGTGACGGCAGGCTAGCAGAGAGCATTTGGGGGAAGGGAGATGGGGTAGGCTAGCAGATAATATTTGGGAAAATGGGGGAGAAATGGCAGGCTAGCAGCGATCTTCGAGGGACTCGGTTATGTCGTTGAAAAAGCTCTCTACCTCACTCTTTCTCTCTCTCTCTCTCTCTCTCTCTCTCTCTCTCTCTCTGTCTCCCACTCTCTTTCTCTCTCGTTACTCTCTCACTCTCTCTCTCTCTCTCGTTACTCTCTCACACTCTCTCTCTCGCACTACCACCCTCACCCTTCTCACACTCTCTCTTGCTCTCTCTCTCTCTCTCCCTCTCTCTCTTTGTCTCTATCTCACACTCGCTCTAGAAATTTTTTATAGTATCCTTAGACGATCGCGCCAAATTCGATGCCCTCGTCCGGATACGACAAAAGCTTCCAATGGTCAGCCATGTTTTAATTTTCCCAAAAAATTCCACTACTTTCCAGATGACTCCAGACCACACCTATCAACGCTACCGTTTTGGCTGGCCGTTGATCAGCTGAAATTTGCATAACAAAATGATAATATTAAAAAATATAAAAATCTTTATTTACCAGGGGTAATCACAGTATTATTTACGTGCAAAGTGAGAGAAAACAAACACAACCATCTATCTCTAAGATTGTTGAAATGCCCGTAGTATCGAAAAAATTAAACATTTTAAAAACGATTTTTTAAATTTGCAAAGGCACAGCCGCTGAACCAGAAAATAGTACCATATTGGGGGAGGAATCACAGAAAAAAGGAGCAAAATAAAACATGCAAAAAATAATAATACTGATTTTTCGAAAATTATGGGATTTTGGAGGGGCTGTAAATAGAAGCTGCTTGGAATAGAAAACCCGTGGGGAGGAAATAGACATTGTGGTGGGATAGAAACAGTCACTGCCCAACTTTTCGCCAAAAAGCAAAAAATTTCGCCGAGCCCTTGGGTCGAACCCGGGTCGCGTGGGTGGGAGGCGAGAGCTTTACCAATCGGGCAAGGGTGAAAAATTCAAAAATTGGGCTTTAATGTGGGAAGCGACCGTTTCCTTAATGAAATTTTGTGGCCATTTTACAACTTGTGCATGTCGACTACGGTATCCTCGTCGTCGTCGTCCTGTTCGTAGAGGGGAATTCGCTCAAAGCCATCTCGTCCCCTACAAATTTGAATTAGGATTTTTAACTTCTCAAATGTTCTCTGTTAGCTTGCCCTACTTGTTTCCCAAATGCTCCCGGCTAGTTTGCCTTTAAAATCCTCAATAATCTCTGCTAGCCTGCCTTCAATTTCCTGAATAAACTTTGCTAGCTTGCCCTAAAATTCTTCAATAAACTCTGCTAGCATGCCTCGATTTCCACAATAATCTCTGCTCGCCTGCCCTAAAATTCCTCAAAATCACTGCTAGCCTGCCCCCTCTCCAACGCCCCAATAAACTCTGCCATGCCTCACCTTCCACCTGGGAACAATCCCTTCCGGTTGAAGAACCCGACGAATCGGCCACGTACGATGAAGCACTGCAAAATTATCAAAATTTACAAAAAAATTAGTGCCACAATAATCAATCGATAATCCAGTGCCCAGCACCTCAAAAAGCCACTCAAAAATTTTACGGACAAAAAAATTTGGATTCCGTTAGTGAACGCCCTACACCAAGCCGGAAAATATAAATCGAGATAAGCAAGTTTCACCTCCAGAATTTCGGGCGGAAATGGATTACGGCAAGGAATGCCTGAATCGACCCGGAAAAGTTTTATTAATATGAAAATACGGTAATATTCAGCGGTAAGGTCAGTAGTAGTCTATCGTACTCAAGAATTAAATGGCGTAATCAATTATCCATACCCAGACCCCAAGTTTTAATGGTGAAAAAGACGTAATTTAATTAAAAACATCTATTAGAAGTAATCTAACGTACTATCGAATTAAGTGGCGTAACCGATTAGCTCTATTAATATAATGGTATAAGGTAATAAGCTAGATAGTCAAAAATAGCTATTAGTAGACGCTAATAAACGATCGTAATTAGTGATCAAACGCACTATATGGCGTAATCGATTAACCCTAACAATTTTCTGCGTTTTTCTTTGCTTTTTTAGAGAATTAGTATACGTTCTAACTAAGCTAATCTTTAGTTTACAGTATCGTATTAAACGTATCTAACCCTAATGCTAGCTATTTTTAAAGGTGCAGGTAACTCACGCAAATCAACAGCAGCACCAAGGCGAACATCGCAATCAACGCCAAATTCATCCCGCCACGAGCGCCGATTTCTCGAATATGGAATGGGATAGCGTCAGAGATCTGAAGAGATCAATATTTTCGGTGCATTCGGTGAGAGGGCAAAAAATAGGGGGGAATTTCCTAAAGGCTCTCTGCTAGGCTGCCGTGAAACCTTATTTTTTGGTAACTTTCATAAGATGCAAAACACGGAAAAGCCGCAACAACGACCGGAAAATGCCGTCATTTGGAAAAGGCGGGGCAGCGTATAAAAGGCTTATGGATGGGGGAGGCTCGTAAGCCAATAAGTTGATAACGGGGCCTCATTCTCAGGCCTCAAATGGACACTAAACGGCAGAGGTGTGGACACCGTATATAGGCGTCGAATGTACTACAGGGGGGGGGGGATTTAAAGGGATTTGGAAGACCTAGTAAATTAGGGAACAACACGCTACGCACCTTTTTTGCATTGCGTAATTGGTTGGCTTTTGCCAGTGTTAGGCCGCTAGGCGAGGCATGCCTCTTTGATAACTTAAAGTATAGCACATACCTCCGCGGAGACGTCTGTCCAGAATTCGCCATCCTTCTTCAGCCTGAACACGTAGCGTCCGTTGGCGAGTGGGATGAAGATTGAGCCTGAACAAATGAAAAAAAACCAAAACCCCCCCCCCCCCCCCCCTCTCGCTCTTTTACTCTCCTTCTCTAGCAGATCTTAAAGCGTCAGACAAGCTATGTATGGATTCATTGCCTATGGCATGCTCAAAAATTACCGCGCCTAGGAAAGCTAATACGCACCTTTGACCAGCTCACGCTCCTTCCCAACCGAGTCAATGATTGAGCCACTCCTCGCATCCGTATGCACCAACATTCCCCTCGTTCTTGCCAGTAACGATCCGACAATTGCCGGCTCGTTCTCCGCCCACAGTTTGCTCTCACCGCCATTCTCGTAGCAGCAGCTAAAAAGTAAAATTTCGGTTTAAAGGGGCTCGAAAGGCACCAATCCACAGATTTTTCGAAAGTTTGTAAGTTATACGAATCCATACCCAGTTTGGACAAGCATCGTATCCGTCTTCCTCCACTCGACACTATCATCCCAGCTGAACTGCTTGATCGTGTCGCGTTCGCTTGGAATTCCTGAATTTTGAGTTATCGTAATCAGGCAAACGTACCACTACAAATGTCCGTTTTTCCGCCCATATGGTTGTGAAGGGATTTGTACTTCTCAGCGATCGTGCCGGCGATTGAAGATGTTTGATTGATATAGCGTACCTAAAAGTAGTAAAATAAAATTCTTTGATAAAAGATTCGGCAATGACTCTCTGCTAGCCGTCCTCGAACTCCCGTACCTTCATTCCTCCAGTTCCAAACATCATGACGAGATCAATCTCAGGAAGGAGTCCAACGACAGTAGCCAGTAGCTGTTCAAAAGGCACTAAAGTACCGTAGTCGTGGCAGCTCAGCTGGGTGTGAGGATTTCTGGCATGAAGAGGAGGGTCGAGCTGTAAGTTTCGGGGTAGTTTAACTTTTCAAAGGGACTTGCAAGGACGGGAAATTTCGGATCTTGCCTCGAAAGTGCCTTTAGAAAGCTAATTTGAGCTTTTCAAGGTAATGGGAAGGCTAGACCGACGAAGGCATCTGAGCCTTTCTATACTTTTAAAGGAACTTTGAAGGCTAAGAAACTTTTTATTGCTTACCGAACACATTTAACCCCGCGAATTCTATCGATTCTTACTTCCACGGTCATTTAAAAATGAGAAAACAGAAACTTTCCTACCGTTTCAAGATATTTTGTACATCAGCCGCTCCGGAATCGCAGAACGACGACGCCATCTCGTAGACTAGAGCCTCCGTTTTCTAGAAATCCAAAATATTCGGCTCTCTTTCTTTCTCTCTCACTCCCGCTCCCTCTCTCTCTCTCTTTCTATCTCTCTCTTTCTCTCTCATCTATCGCACCTTTTCGATGGCCATAACTAGGGTATATGGTGGGAGGCCAGTGCCCATTTGTGTCATTCGAAGGTTCGGCAAATCGACCCTCTTCGAGCATCCCCTCTCATCTTCTAGTACTGGGATTGCGGCAGAAGTCGCTTGCATCTGAAATTTTCCAGATAAGACCCAGGGGATCGGAACAGATAGAGAAGGCGATAAAACGTTCCTCAATACCCCTGCTAGCTTGTCTTGGCATGCCTCCTAGGCCTAAAAGGGTCTGGAAGCCCAAAACCGACCGCTTCATTAGCCGAAAAGTGGTCGGCCGGGCTGACGGATGGGCGGATGCTGAATTCGGAGACGGCATCGCGGGTCAGAATCTTTTCCAGCATCTGAAGAGCAGGTTAGGAGTTACGGTAGTGGGTCCAGATATTACCTTTGCAATGCCAGCTACGGCTGCTCCCTGTTTTTGGACTGCATCAGCGTCACAGCCGAGGCCAACGCCAACCTGGAGAAATTGCTTTTAGTTAAGTTGCCTTAAAAGACACAGAGCAAAGAGAAGCAAGAGAGAGAGAGAGAGAGAGGGGGGAGAGAGCGAGATATAGAGAGAGAGCTACCGTACCTGAAAGGCGGAGGGAACTTGGAGATCATCGAGCAGTTTGGCCACCTCGCTGGATAATAACGGGTGGTTAGATCTGGAAAAATTCCCAAATAACCTCTGCTAGCTTGCCTTATTTGCGTACTACACGTCTTTAAAGGGGCACTTTTAAAGGACGTTTAAAACAGACTCTGCACATTTCACTCCTCCTCCCAGCCACTTATTCAGCGACCGCTCCAGGGCTTCTTTGTGGAAGATTTTCGGAACCTGAAAAAATTTAGTTTTCTAATGTTGCCATCTCTTTAGAAGGCGTTTTTTCGAATCCGTACCTTTTCCCCAGCGCTATAAACTACACTTTCCAGCGTCCCGTCGGCTACGGCCAATACAGCTGCCGGGTACTCGTCGTGGATTATCTGAAAACAACGGAAAATCTATCAAAAATCGGAACTTCGAATTTATAAAGGCGGTTTTGATTTTGATTTTCACAAAAATATCAATTTCCACCTTCTGGTCAAAAACCAGAAGCTTTGTCACCAGTAAGTTACGAACCCTGGCCTGACGGGCAACAGGCTAGCGCCTTACCAATACACCAAACCTACAGCGGGCGTGTCTTGGCTTAGAAAGTCGACATTTGGGTTCTAAAGGAACAATGAAGCACCCACCCTGGCTTTATTCTGTAGATTTAGCCCATCCGGGACGATGATAAAGGACAAATCATCTGCCAGATACGTCTCATCAGTGCACGAATCGGCTGCCATTTGACGCAGGATCTGTAGTTTTTCGTTAGGGGACGATTTTAAAGGGATCCTGGCCGGAAGTTATAGACTACAGACTACAAAACGCTACCTTTGACGCCTTCTCGTTAACTCCAACGATCGCGATTCTGACGGAACCACGCCCTCGCCGGATGATCGGTTTCGAGTCTAGAAAATTGAGGGTTGAGACCCGTCCCTTTAAAATATGCCCCAACTACCGTAACTCACCACAGGAACAACACAGAAATAAAGTGTCTTTTTGAGAAAGCGCTCAAGTTACCGTACCCTCATTTTTCCCACAGGCAGCCAGTGTGATATTCTTGATAAGTAGCGTGCCATTAATCACCAGCCTCATCTGTTCCGTTTCGAGGCCATACGCGGAAAATGTCAGCTGGAAAGTGGTGGAATTGGGTATACCGTATCAAATGCTCGTACCTCATGGTCCCCAGGGGCCAAAAATTCTCCAGTATTCGCCGTCACTCGTCGTCTTCATCTCCTTGCCATTTTCCACGGATACGGTAGCGTTGGCCACCGGCTTACCGTACTCATCCTGTAAAAAGAGAATTTTCATTTATAGAGGAACCCGAGATTTAGAGGTTTAAAGGGGTTGGCAAGGCAGGCTACGGATTCCTAATAGATTCTTCTGCGCCGCGACACGCAACGCGCCGTTTGCCGTTACATATGGTAATTGCTATATGCTTTTTCTAATGTGGTCGGTCGGTCGCGTCGCGTGTCGCGGAGCGTCAAAATCCATAGGGGAATTACGAAAAAATAATATCATAATCTATAAGCCTGCCTTCCCCGTCCCTTTAAAAGTATCGTTTCCTTACCTTAACAATCCCCTTGACACCAATATGAGCCATCTCCAAGAATGACAGCAGCGCGTACTCATGATCCGACCACAGTCTAAAAACACTTCATAAAATCGGCAAAACTCAGGGCGAGCTAGCAGAAACCCTTGAGGAAACGCACTTTGGGAGCATATCGTTGGAAGGGGAACTTGAAGCACCCCATCTCGATCGTAATCTCCAACGAATTCGTGTGCATATATTGCCAATCTTGCATCCCGCCCGCAAGGTGGTACCTGGAAAAATGGGCGTGGCTCGCTTTTAAAGGGGTGGTGACAGGTGGAATCTAAAGAACCATCTGATCACTTAGATTTAAAATAGACCATTTACCCACCATCCGGCCCCATTTGTAATTCCATTCAAAATGTGTCCCCATCCACTTGAAGCCCACATCTCCTTCCGGTTTTCCACATGTTCGGATGGGCCCTCGCGTATCTGTAGGCCAGACCGACGAACAGGACGTCATCCTGAAAAAAACGGCCATTAACGGATTGAAAAACCAAAAAGCAAAAGTTTGTCGCGGCCCGGATTCGAACCCTTGACGCTTTTCTCGGCAGCCAAAGTTATGAACCACTCGGCCATAGGCGCAAAATCGTTTTATCGGCATAACTTTCTTAGTTTGCAATGTTTTGGGCTGTAACTTGGTGAGCAGGTAGATTTTAGCTTTTCCCATCTACGCTATAAATTTGAACCCGATCCAGTCAAGGGTAAGCTAGGAAAACGAAATTGAAACTGCTCAGCCTAAACTAATAAAATAAACCTTGGTGGGTGTATACTCGCCATCCCTGCCCGTCACCGAGTCGTCCCACGGGTAGTTGGCCACCAGTGAACCGCCGTGAAGATTCGTCGATAGTACAAACGGGTACTGTTGAAGCCACTTCATCACGGCCACGGTTTCTGGCTCCGGCTCTTTACCACCGGACATTTCCTGAAAGAAACGTCTGATTAAGGTCAATTTCAACTTTTTAATCAAAAAGCAAAAAGCTTGGCACCGGCGGGATTCGAACCCTGGTCGTTTGCGTAGAAAGCGAGAGTTTAACCAATACGAAAAAAAAAGAGTTTCTCTTCGGGCCCCGGCCCGCGGGGGGGGGGCGGGGGGGGTTTTGGGGGTTGTTTTTTTTGGAAAAAAAAAAAAAAGGGGGGGTAAGGGGGGGGGGTGTTTGGGGTTATTGACTCGTAAAAACCCATTTTATCAATATCATTTTTATTAAATTTTTTTAAAAAAAAAAAAAAAAAAAAAAATAAAAAATTAGAAAAAAAAAAAAAATATAAAAATTTAAAAATAATTTTTTTAAAAAAAAAAGAGGGGGGTGAAAAGAAAAAAAAGGGGGGGGGAGAGAAATTATTTGGGGGACTTTAAAAAAAAAATTTTGGGGGAATTCGTTGGGGGCCCAAAAAAAAAAGTGATATAAGTGGAGACCAAAATCAGTAAAAGGCTTACGATATGTTCGGGGTATTGTGCCGGAAAGTTTCTGTTCAAGTCGATGCCGTGCGCGTTTTCTCGGCCCTAAAATGGAGTCTTTAACTTTATATCGTCTACCTACCGTATACCCCATTCTATCCCCGGCAATGCCCTTTTCGTGGCCATCCGGATTCATCGACAGCATTAGGTGTAGTCTGGAAACGGTAGATAGAGAGAGGAAGAGAGAGAGGAGAGAGGGAGGGAGAGAGAGAGAGAGAGAGACAGACAGAGCGAGAGAGCGAGAGTGAGAGAGGGGCAGTACCCTACGTTACACACCAAATGACACCCACCTCGTGTCGTTGACGTATCTCGTGATCCACTCATTTTTCCCGTAATTTCTTGTGAATATGTCGATCAGATAGATGCACGCCTCTCGGCCGACTACCTAGAATTTTAATTCCTAAAATCCCGCTGCTAGCCTACCCACCTCATTGCCATGCATATTGGCAACTATCTTGACCTCCGGCTCGAGCAGCTCGTGCTCGCGTGGCTTGTCGGAGACGATCAATACCCACCTGAAAGTTATAGTTTAGCTTTGAGCCCTATTTTTATGCTATCTCCGCTTCAAGCACGTTATTTCGCTCGTTAACTCGGTTGGTGTATTGGTAAAGCTCTAGCCTGCCAGGCCCAAGGTCCGGGTTCGACCCCGGCGCGACAATTTTTTACTTTTTTGCCCTTGCAAACTCCGGAAAGGGCCAACTTACAGATCTCTTCCCTCTACACTCTTCCCGGCAGAGTACAGATACGTAATATCGGGGTAGTTGAGGGCCGTCTTCTTCAAGAAGGCCGTCATCTCGGTGTAATCGTGGTTTACGAGCAGTTCGGATGGCACCTCATCGAAGGGGCCGACCCTGAAACAGCGCTATTTCACTCCTTTTTGGTGGCGTAATCGAATCACCAATCTAACATCGTAGTCGATTGAATCATTAGCTGATTTAATCGCGTAATCGATTGGCGCATATTCGATGCCGTAACCGGTTCTTTGAATTACATAGCGTAATCCATTTTCTCAATTTAATTTCGTAATCGGTTCAATTTACCAGCGTAACCAATTTCTTGAGAATTTAATGTCGTAAACGGACCCCTTATTTTTATAGCTTAATCCAATGCAAAAAGTTTAAAGCTAAAAATCCTATCGAATTCGACCATTCTAAAGGCATGCTAGCAGCGATTCTCAGGGAATCGCTATAGCCCAAGATACCCCACCGATTCTTCATCGTATCCTGACTGGGAAACATCTCTCGATCGTCGATGAACGTGCCGAAATACTGGTGCAACGCATCCTAAATGTTGTCCAATCTACTGTATCCCCTTAACCCTCACCTGTTGTCCCAACTTTTTCAACTCGTCCGTCGCGACAATGTCTGAATTCCAGTCAAGTGCTATGGCTACGGTAGTCCAGAATAGAAAGAGGGCCCCACCCCTCGACCATTGGCCCATCGCTTGAGGGGGGACGGCTGAAAAATATAAGGTTTTGGGGAGGCTATCAAAGAAGACTTAGGAAATTAGGAAATTAGAAGATTTTGGGCAAATTAGCAGAGATTATTACGGATTTTCAATAAGTTCAAACAATTTCAGTAAGAAAATAACATCGAAGGAGCAGTGGTTACTTGAAGGGCAAACCAGCAAAGAGTCTTTCGGAAATAAGGATAGATCTAAAATAACAGAGACGCTTTCCAAAAATTGATTCGTAGGAGCACAACTTCTGGCTTCTATGCCCCTTTAAAGGGCTAGCTAGCAGAGTTTATGGCGAAAAAATTAAATGGTCTAAAATTAATTAGAAAAAATTTAAGAAACATTTATAAAGAAATTAATTAAAAAAAGACAATTTATCAAATCAATTTTTTAAAAGGCAACCTAGCAGAGATTATTGATGAAACCCGGAATTCCATAAACTCCAAAAACTCGCTCACAATCCGCCACATTATAAGCGTCATAATGGCCCGTAGGAGAGGGCTGTTATCGCAAGCCACAAATAGGCGGAAATGGGGCCTTTTGCCAGGGCTTTTCCCCCGCCTTTCACCACCCAAAATCGAGGCTTCTCATCGCATATATATCACATTTTATTCCCGCCACAAAATACGATCGATGTCACCTGGATTTTATGAAAAAAGTACGGATTTAAAGGGGCTCAGAAGTCAAAATTAGTGCGTGCGGGGATTGAACCTACTGGTCAAAGAACGCAAGGGTCCTCAGCGAGAAGTGCCAGAAAAGTGATTTAATTGCGAAAAAACGTAAAATATTTGAGAAAATCCGATTCTTTTCTGGGCGAAACGACATTTTGAGTGCGCGGCGATTACCCGTCGTAATGCCTTGTAAGGCACCAATCCTCCGATCTCGGCGATTCCTGGTCAATTTTCATAATTTAAAAAGTCTGGAATGATCAAAATTCGGTGAAGATTCAAAAATAGCGTCAGAATTTTTTAATTCAAG